GTGAGAACTAAACTAAGTTCTCATTCACACACAAGTTTATGTTAAAAACACACATGAGTTACAAAAACAGTCGGTTATGTCTGTGAAGGTAAACAGCTGGGAAATAAATCACATGTTTATTTTAGATCTAAATAAGTGTTCTGTGCTGGTCTGTGCAGACAAAGACAGAACAGTTAGCATGTTTTGCTCAAACTTTCGTCATGGCATTAGAGCTAGTACGCCGTTGTCTCTTGCGAAAACACAATAACGGTAATTTTAATGAGACCTCTTTGCCACGTCACCAAGGGAGCGAAATCAGACGCGCTCGTTTTCTCAGACGCTTGCAGAAAAAGGCTTACCTAAACAAAGTTACTGGGTTAATCTTTTTCACGTTTCCTTGGTTGGTAGATGCACCGGGGACCTGATTATAGCACTTAAAACCTGGAAAAGTCAGATTTTCATGATATGTCACCTTTAATGTTTATGCTCTTTCTGTAGTCATTCCAAGTCTGTAGTCCTTTGATACAGGCCTGTGCGTGACTCTGGCTGCAGGGTTGAGGATGTTATGCTCCACCCTGGGCCGGTACAGCTCTCTGAAACTGCTGTGTCCTCTCATTATGGCTGCCTGTGCCCCTTTGGATGTGGCCTTTGCCTACATCTGCCTAAAGCCCTGTGTTTACTCTCAGCTTGTAATGAGCTGCCCTTAAGCCTGTAGGGCTTTCCCAGGAAAAATGAGCAGGGAGGGAGAGGGGGAAATGGGAGCTGTAGTGGAAGTTGCGCGGGGGAACTGAGGGCATTTTAAAGATGGTCTCTAAAGCAGAGGGGTCACAGCGAGGTCACCGTGCTGGCTCTGGACAGCAATGTTGATCGCACGCTCCTGCTAGGACTTAGCGCCCTGCTGTTAGGAATGCGTATGTGTATATATGGGGTCACTTGTTTGATTGTGAGGGTTTTAGATAAGACAAGGAAAGAAACTAGGTGAATTTATATACACAATGTTGGACTGCGTGTGCATGTGCTGGCATTAAAAGTGAAAACAAGCATTATCATCTGACTAAAGCTCCCAGTGGGATGCTGTGGCTTACACAAGCAAGTCTCACAGCCGCTTAGAAATCCAATATGTAAATCCACTTAACGCTGCCTCAACAGAAAAAAACACGCACACACACCCCATCAGAGCTAAACTAATTCAGAAAGTAAGACAGAGGGGAAGACATCAAGGACCTTTCCATAATCCTTCAAGGCAGGTGGACCAAAGATTATCTCCAGCTGTGATGGGCCCTGTTATTTAGCAGTGTCACAGGCTCCTGCTTTTCTGGGTAGGAGACATGCTTTGATGCTGCATCGGCAGGACAGGTAATTATGAAGAAAGCTAAGCCGTACCCTATCCTGTTCTCTTGAGTGGATAAGTCCAAATTCAATCAAATAGCATCTGTACTATAAAACCACACACTTGAGGACTGTCAAGTTCCTTTTAGATCAAAGGTCTATAATTTTGTTTGACTTTTGTTCACTTGCTTTGGACAATATGTCTTTGGCTTGATGCAAGATTGTCCATTATGTGTATGAATTACCGTTACTTTGAAAATGATTGTTGGAATAAGCAACTCGCTACACTAGTCTAAAGTTACACATTTTGAAAACAGCAGAGCAACTTTTAATGCGACTGAAAAATGTAGTTAAGTTAGTTAAGTCCCTTCTTGGGTACTCCTCAGTAGTGGTATGAATGTGTGTCTGTGAATGAGTTTTCAACTTACCTTCCATTTCACAGCCCAGGAGTTCCAATCTAAGTCCCATCCCAGCAGGAGTGGCTCTGTCTGGGTACACCCTAACAAAGCGTGTCAATGTAGACTCCACCGTCCTCAACGCTGGCGTGTCATAGTTCAAATTCCCCTCAAATATCTGCCAAGAACAATGACAGAGTCAGAGACAAAGTTAGCAGTCAAGCAGAGAAATTGAACTTGGAAAGATAAAAGTGAAAGCTTTATTAAGAGTATCCCAAAGTTACTCTGACAGGGAAAGCAAAGAACAGAGCATTAATGAAAGAGAATGAGTGAGAGGGCACACCGCTCTCACGTTTCTTAACTTGGGCACTGCTGTATTTCTAATGCAACAAAGCCTTTCTTCAACTTTACTTCTGACATTGTACGGCTGAGCTAGCGCAAAAGAAAGGCTGCGGGCTAACACTGCAGTCTACTACAGAAGGATGCACAGGCTTTCAAAAGCATCCGCCTTTGACTTCTTTGACGCCTTTGACACTTCTGAAGCCTTAAAACCCAGACACGAGGTACCACAGGAGGCAGACAGAAAAAAGGAAGGAAAGACGAAAAGACACTCGCCAGAGGTAGAGTACAGAACAAGACAAGACGTCATGAAAGAGCATTAATGGCCATCGTAGTTAATGTGTCTCCTTTTATCCTTCAAACTAAGGAAGAGATATAAGAGTTTTAAAAGGGGCCTTCTAGGATTGATATTCCAATCCAGCTTTTTGATAGGAGATAAGGCTATGTCTACAAAAAGCCACGCATTTCATGTGGTTCATGCAGCATTTCTTTTGAAATTTGTCTGTTCACGTATCAGTATGATCTTCAAGTATCACTATGATATCAAATGAACACTATACTGTTATTCTATTTTGATATTGTTATTAGTAGTATTGTTGAATGCACTTGGGATGTTTCCCCAATATTGTGCTCACAGCATTAGTCTAAAGGCTTGTTCATACAAAGGACGATAACTAATAACAATTAAAAAATAGTAAAGTCATATCTTTACTAGTCATATCCACATATCACAGCTATAACGATAAAGGCACAGAGAAATGATATAGTTGGAATCACCTTCAGAATGATTTTTTCCCCAGCTGATGAATGATAAAAACATTGACAACCAATCTGAATCAATCCTGCTATAACGAGCTCAAGAACTGAAAGTGGCAGGGCAGCATGGGCTTAGAATAAACATACGATATCGTCCGCTGGTCTGGACGCTAATTTAGTTATCGTTATAGTTATCATTCTTGGTGTGAACAGGCCTTAATTATTATCATTCTCTCCTCTGTCCATCTAAAGCAGGGGTGTCAAACTCAATTCCTGGAGGGCTGGAGCCCTGCAGAGTTTAGATTCAACCATAATTAAACACACCTAATCCAACTAATCAAGTCCTTCAGGCTTATTTGAAAACTACATGGTTTGTGTGCTAGAGCAGGGTTAGCACAAAACTATGTGGGGCTCCAGCTCTCCAGAAATTGAGTTTGACACTCCTGATCTAAAGGCTTCGGGGAGAATACATTATAGCTCCACGTTCAACACGTAACAACTAATTTCCTAAAAATCAGGCTAAACAAATCTCAGAGTCAGTCTCAGACTAGCACTCAGCTTGTAATGAGCTGCCCTTAAGCCTGTAGGGCTTTCCCAGGAAAAATGAGCAGGGAGGGAGAGGGGGAAATGGGAGCTGTAGTGGAAGTTGCGCGGGGGAACTGAGGGCATTTTAAAGATGGTCTCTAAAGCAGAGGGGTCACAGCGAGGTCACCGTGCTGGCTCTGGACAGCAATGTTGATCGCACGCTCCTGCTAGGACTTAGCGCCCTGCTGTTAGGAATGCGTATGTGTATATATGGGGTCACTTGTTTGATTGTGAGGGTTTTAGATAAGACAAGGAAAGAAACTAGGTGAATTTATATACACAATGTTGGACTGCGTGTGCATGTGCTGGCATTAAAAGTGAAAACAAGCATTATCATCTGACTAAAGCTCCCAGTGGGATGCTGTGGCTTACACAAGCAAGTCTCACAGCCGCTTAGAAATCCAATATGTAAATCCACTTAACGCTGCCTCAACAGAAAAAAACACGCACACACACCCCATCAGAGCTAAACTAATTCAGAAAGTAAGACAGAGGGGAAGACATCAAGGACCTTTCCATAATCCTTCAAGGCAGGTGGACCAAAGATTATCTCCAGCTGTGATGGGCCCTGTTATTTAGCAGTGTCACAGGCTCCTGCTTTTCTGGGTAGGAGACATGCTTTGATGCTGCATCGGCAGGACAGGTAATTATGAAGAAAGCTAAGCCGTACCCTATCCTGTTCTCTTGAGTGGATAAGTCCAAATTCAATCAAATAGCATCTGTACTATAAAACCACACACTTGAGGACTGTCAAGTTCCTTTTAGATCAAAGGTCTATAATTTTGTTTGACTTTTGTTCACTTGCTTTGGACAATATGTCTTTGGCTTGATGCAAGATTGTCCATTATGTGTATGAATTACCGTTACTTTGAAAATGATTGTTGGAATAAGCAACTCGCTACACTAGTCTAAAGTTACACATTTTGAAAACAGCAGAGCAACTTTTAATGCGACTGAAAAATGTAGTTAAGTTAGTTAAGTCCCTTCTTGGGTACTCCTCAGTAGTGGTATGAATGTGTGTCTGTGAATGAGTTTTCAACTTACCTTCCATTTCACAGCCCAGGAGTTCCAATCTAAGTCCCATCCCAGCAGGAGTGGCTCTGTCTGGGTACACCCTAACAAAGCGTGTCAATGTAGACTCCACCGTCCTCAACGCTGGCGTGTCATAGTTCAAATTCCCCTCAAATATCTGCCAAGAACAATGACAGAGTCAGAGACAAAGTTAGCAGTCAAGCAGAGAAATTGAACTTGGAAAGATAAAAGTGAAAGCTTTATTAAGAGTATCCCAAAGTTACTCTGACAGGGAAAGCAAAGAACAGAGCATTAATGAAAGAGAATGAGTGAGAGGGCACACCGCTCTCACGTTTCTTAACTTGGGCACTGCTGTATTTCTAATGCAACAAAGCCTTTCTTCAACTTTACTTCTGACATTGTACGGCTGAGCTAGCGCAAAAGAAAGGCTGCGGGCTAACACTGCAGTCTACTACAGAAGGATGCACAGGCTTTCAAAAGCATCCGCCTTTGACTTCTTTGACGCCTTTGACACTTCTGAAGCCTTAAAACCCAGACACGAGGTACCACAGGAGGCAGACAGAAAAAAGGAAGGAAAGACGAAAAGACACTCGCCAGAGGTAGAGTACAGAACAAGACAAGACGTCATGAAAGAGCATTAATGGCCATCGTAGTTAATGTGTCTCCTTTTATCCTTCAAACTAAGGAAGAGATATAAGAGTTTTAAAAGGGGCCTTCTAGGATTGATATTCCAATCCAGCTTTTTGATAGGAGATAAGGCTATGTCTACAAAAAGCCACGCATTTCATGTGGTTCATGCAGCATTTCTTTTGAAATTTGTCTGTTCACGTATCAGTATGATCTTCAAGTATCACTATGATATCAAATGAACACTATACTGTTATTCTATTTTGATATTGTTATTAGTAGTATTGTTGAATGCACTTGGGATGTTTCCCCAATATTGTGCTCACAGCATTAGTCTAAAGGCTTGTTCATACAAAGGACGATAACTAATAACAATTAAAAAATAGTAAAGTCATATCTTTACTAGTCATATCCACATATCACAGCTATAACGATAAAGGCACAGAGAAATGATATAGTTGGAATCACCTTCAGAATGATTTTTTCCCCAGCTGATGAATGATAAAAACATTGACAACCAATCTGAATCAATCCTGCTATAACGAGCTCAAGAACTGAAAGTGGCAGGGCAGCATGGGCTTAGAATAAACATACGATATCGTCCGCTGGTCTGGACGCTAATTTAGTTATCGTTATAGTTATCATTCTTGGTGTGAACAGGCCTTAATTATTATCATTCTCTCCTCTGTCCATCTAAAGCAGGGGTGTCAAACTCAATTCCTGGAGGGCTGGAGCCCTGCAGAGTTTAGATTCAACCATAATTAAACACACCTAATCCAACTAATCAAGTCCTTCAGGCTTATTTGAAAACTACATGGTTTGTGTGCTAGAGCAGGGTTAGCACAAAACTATGTGGGGCTCCAGCTCTCCAGAAATTGAGTTTGACACTCCTGATCTAAAGGCTTCGGGGAGAATACATTATAGCTCCACGTTCAACACGTAACAACTAATTTCCTAAAAATCAGGCTAAACAAATCTCAGAGTCAGTCTCAGACTAGCACTTAAGAACTTCATAGTGATTCACAGCTATTCTAAATGAACATCCAGTTTATATCCAACTACTTTCCAGCTTCCCTATATCTTACCTTGGGCTTGTTGCCGCAAATCTCAGAGTCAGTCTCAGACTAGCACTTAAGAACTTCATAGTGATTCACAGCTATTTTAAATGAACATCCAGTTTATATCCAACTACTTTCCAGCTTCCCTATATCTTACCTTGGGCTTGTTGCCAGTAGCATCCATCACCATTTTCCAGTCAGATCCATTGTTGCTGTAGCCCAGCCGAAACTTCTTCATGAATACCTTGTTATCACGGTGTTTACCTCCCTGGATGATCAAACCTCGGAACAGTTTCTCCTCACCCAGATCTATCTGCAGCCACTCATCCACATACGGCTGGGGCTGCGGCAACAAGGTCCATCCCGAACGGCTGGTCAGCAGACGGGCATTCTCTGACACCCAGGTGCGCTCGGTTTGGGATGAAACTGTGATCTGAGAGTCTGCGATAAGGCCTGAGACCATTCCCAACATTCCAGAACATGGGTACTCTGTTGAAGGACAAAGACAGTATTAGATCCAAGGAAGTTCCAAACCCTTCACTAGTCAATATCCTGAGCTGTCACATGAAAAGCAGCAGACAGAGAAAAATATAAGTGCATTTCATTTTATTAAAAGCCCTCAAAAAACCTTGGACTGGCTATCAAAGGAGAAAGATACTTTTTGATTGTGTAGTTTTGGCACCCACCAGCAGGGGCTAACAGGGACATGCTAACCAGCCAAACCCTGATCCCTCGGTAAGACTGTTGTCCAACTTGCCACTGCTGTGGCAAAACAAATGTACCTTTATTTGTCATGCCAATAAAACACATGGAAAAGAGAAAGAGAGAGCTGTTTGAGAACATAGTGGAAGAGCTGAATGATAATTGAGGACGTGTCTATGAAAGAGTAGATTAGCTATGAGTGGGTGAGTCTGAGAGGAAGAGAGGAAACAAATGATGTTGGCTGATAAACCTGGTAGAAACGGTCACATCTCAGTGAGCTGGGAAACGATCTTACCAACAACCTAAAGAGGTCGCAGACCATAAAGAGGCTGAACAAAGAGAGAAGGAAAGACATTAATTGCACAGGAAAGACAGATGAAGTGGACAGAAGAGATAAGAAACCTCTTGTTCTCTTTGTTTCTCTCTCTCCATCTTCCTTTCACCACTGACCTTGTGCATTAACTCCTCTGCCTCTTTTTCTCAAGCTACCTAATTAAAACCTTTCTCTAGTGAATCTACCTTTTATTTCTGAACAGTTTCTCGCCCTCATCCTCAGTCCTGCTCCACTTATACCTTCCTTTCATTTTGTTTTTCATCTGCTTTCTTATTCACCTCCGACAAACCTATCCCTTCATTCGTTTTGTAATCTATCTTCATCTCTCCAAACTGACTTCCTTTGTTCCAGCGATGATAATAGGATTTTTCATGCTTTGCTACTTTTAGGCAAAAGCAGGTTGATTTTGAGGGAAATTATAAGACATGCAGCACTGTCCAAATGACTGTGTGTTGCCTGTCACGACTTTCGTACCTTCTCTAACGCAGTGGGATTTGTGACCTGCCAGCAATACCATAATCTACGATCAGCACCTGTGGAGCAGGAAAGCGTCAGAGACAATCTTGGACTAGTCACAGATGAACCTAATGTCCCGTGAAATACCACCAGAACAGAGTTTTCATTCACAACACTGCCTTAGTACTTTCTCTGTAGTTTTGGAATGGAAAGAGCACTTGTCTGTGACCCCTTCAGAAATTGCAGAGAGTCCAAATGTGAGTTCCAGCCTCCTAAAACAACAAATGATTGGGACTTTGATTTTTCCATTGTTTGTTTGTGGATGTACAGCCGGGGTTGAGTTTTTTTTTAACCCTTGCCAAATTTGGAAAATGTCTCTGCGTATAATTTCTGCTATATGCATGCCAAATTGTTTTGGGACCTGATTGAAAATGATCTGCACAGAGGTGGTTGGCCCTCAAAGTTTGGAAGTCAACCAAGTTTATTTACAATCCACTGGCTGGCACTGTCATCAGGATCTGTTTATGGATCTCAAATGGGGATGCATGGTAGAAGCTCCTGGTGTGGTAGACCCTGACAGACACACCCTGAGGGTGGACTGGTCCATGTGTATTGCGTGTTTCGTCTGTTAGTTTGGTCTGTGCACAGCACATAAAGGCTGGATGACCACACACATATGGTTTTATTTACAAACAGCGGGAGGAAGTTTATTAATGGCTGTGTGGATGTGGAAAGCCTATCAGACCTGAACTGTGCACAAGACCACCTCCTAACTGCTAGCAGGCATCCTCTGTGGGTAGTATCAAGGTACGGTGCAAACAAACATAGTGCCCAGGAATAGTGTTTGTGGCAGTACCTTGGTAAAGTGATATGTACTTTGGTGAAGCGGCATCAGATGGTAATACTGTGGCACTTTAATACTTACCATGGTAATGAATGGTTACCATACTGGTACAAGTACAAGTACACAGCCTTTGTATATGCCCTTGCAAAAAGTACTGTGGCGCAACCATGGTAAAATGGTAATAGTATCACTTGATAATACTTTGGTATTTTGACTTATACCTTTCTACTAAAATAATGGTGTTTATGTGCTACTAAACGTTTTTGGACATGTACCATGATATTCTTGGTAGTACCATGGTAAATGTGCAAAAAGTTTAAAAGTATATCTTCAAAACATGCTTAACGTTGTCCAAAAGCATACAGTAGTAATACCATTGCAATTGTTATTAAGTGAAACTAGAGGGAGATTCTTCCCCAATCATTCGCCCAACTTGGCCTCATCATCACAAGCCCGATGCACACTGATGATGTCACTGGGAGGCCTCCGCTCTTGTGATGTGTTTAGAATGCGGTCTGTTCACTCGATCAAAACACGACTGCAACAGCTGCGCTCCAGAACTGCGGTGAACCGCACACATAAACACACACACACAGATATACAACCAGTGCTAAATCTGTGTACACACGCAGACTCTAAAAATAAGCCCCTATGCATGTTGAACGTAAAGCTGATAGACGGCGCATGATGGCAAACATGCTCGCCCTCCTCCTACACCTCTCCTATGAAGAAATGTTCTCAGTGGGAAGCCGCTGATGATATAAAAAGCCTTTGCAATCAAAGCTCTGTAGGGTGGAGCCATGCCAAAACATGCAGATGAGTATGCAAATGAAGACAGGGCCAGCTGGGCCTGACTGTGGCTGGTGGGTGTAGATCTCGCCGTGTGCAATAGCATGTGCAATATGTACATCTGTGTGTATTTGAGAGAGAGGCTGAGAGGTTAGAGCTTGGGGGAGGAGGGTAGAGGCAGAATTGGGGTAGAAGTGGAGAGGTTGCAGCAGCATCCGTGCATGCTGAGCACGCCATTCATTTTGAATAAAGAACATCCAAAAGTGGGGAAACATGAATACACGGTCCTTTTTGTTGGCTTGAACACTTGTCTATAACGCAATAGCTCCTCCAATATTGCACATGCACAGTTCGCACATGGCTTTCAGAGGCATGAATAAACACTTCTCCATTCGCCTGCCTCCAAAGCAAGCAAAACGTAAACCATTTAATTGAAAGATCATGATGGAGTGGTGTGTTGACAAAACATTGCTTCTGAATCTGAATTAACACTCTGCTTTTATATATTTTTGAGGCATGCCAGTTTTGCCATTGACAGTTCGTTTTGAAACCTGTAAAATAAAAAACAGATTCTTGGAACCAACCTGAGATTTTGCATCCATACACCTCGAAGCGCAGAGCGATACCGGTTTCCCAGTTGTATGGTCGGATCCGGAGGTATCGCGTCAATGTGGGCTTTGGGAACATGGCTTTCGCTACATCAGAAGGGTTGGTGTTCCCTTGGAAAATCTGACAAACGAAGAACAAACACATTAATTATTAACATGGTTTGTTTAAGCAACTCACCAAAGACAGACCTTTGAGGCCTGGGACTCACATAATACTCAGCCCCAGAAACAGAGAGAAATAACAAGAATGTGTTTAGATCAGCGTCTTCAAATGTGACAACCTAAATAGTGCCTGAATTAAATTTTCTCTGGAGCCAACTGGGTAGCAATACAAAGACCACTTTGTGATGTCAGAGTCTGGGTTACAACTAGCGCTGAATGTTTTTGACGCTTCAGTTACACAATGGTTTCTGTTGTTGCTGCAACAGACATAGCGATGAATCCGACTGTGTTATGTCCATGGGCACTGATTCTTGCTGACAGCTAGCACATGTTCTCTGTGAAGGGAGGATCTAGAAATTGTTACAAGAAAGATAAATGGAAGCAAAGGCAACCTTGTCGTTTATAGTATCTTGTTTCACAGGTCACTATGCAAAGGTCAACAGGTTTAAGTACATCTTGAAAGATCTCTCTTTTACTTTTTCAGTTTCAGATTTTTTAAATTAATTAATAAAAATTAGCCCTTAATCCTAAAAAAATAAAAATGAATCTTTATTAACCTTGGCACATACATGCACATTCTATATTTAAAATAAATTGCTTAAAAAAGCTGATTTTCAAGTTTTCATGTACTTAAATTCTTAAGCACTTCACTGAACCCACTTGTGCAAACCCAATTTATCATTTTGCTGTTGCCACCATTTTATAAAAGCAACAGGTCAATCTAGGCCACCTGTTACAATTATTTTACCATGCTGTAAGAATGATAAAATCACTGTATTGCACAGCCTCTCTCTCAGCGTACTGCTTTAAGATCAGTACGTTCAAATAAATTCTAAACTAGACAAGGTCAAACTGTAAGCTGTACAGGATGGCCAAGTGTTGCTAAGGCCCAGTCAGGGCACACAGCCATCCGTCTACCCCAGAATTCATGCAGCTAATCGTGTCCCTGGGCACTACTTGTCAAAACGTGTGTGTCTGGGAGGGAGACACATGAGGAGCCATCCACTATCTTTAAATGTCACGCCAATGCTCCGCTCTACTGCTCTAAGTAGTAAAAAGGCTTTCCTTTGTGCAACAACCCCACAGCCGAACTGCTGTTTCAGCAGCCTGTAAATGGGCCCTCACCTCACAAAAGCACTTTAGAGCCAGGCAGACAGAAACAAGGCACCACACCTTAAAAATGCAAGCTCTAAAAAGAGAACAGTGTAGTTTAGTTGAGGGTCGACACAGAAATTGGGCCTTTGGGTACATTTAAGCTCACTGTTACTTCCAGGCATGAAGATGTACACACACACAAACACACACACGCACGTCTAATTGGCTTGCTGAGCTTGACAGGTCTATTTCAAAACTTGTATTGTTAGAGCAAGACGTAAACATGCATATGAATGCGTCTTGCACTCACAAATGAGCAAAATCAAAATCATAAACTTCACACACTGGAAGTGTCTCAAAATCTATGAAGCTGCCTACAGAGACAGAATCTTTGGATCAGGTAAATCTCACAATGTCCAGTTCACATTTCTGACAAGAATCAGGTGAAAATTAAAATGAAATTGCATTTTGGAAAATAAATTATTTTAGATGAATTTCAGATTTGCATTGTGACAATATTTTAATGAAGTAAAAAAGTAATAATTATATTAAACTATATCATGTAATATATCATGTTTTTTTCAGTTGCTTTGTTTGCATTCCTGTAATAATTTCAATTTGAGGAGAAAAGTTTTTTTTAAATATTGTTAATTTTTGTTTTTTTATTTTTCTATTTTTACATGAACTGACATGTTTTTGACACGTTTTATGAAGTTCATTCAAATGCTTTTTATTGTTCTATTTGAACCTTCTTGGCTATGATCCTCAAAATTCTGTCTAGGTAGGTAGCTCACTAGGTTTTGAGACATAACCCATGTGTCATATGTAAGAGGCATGTCTTCCTAAGTTAACTTTTCTGTGCTGAGGGACACGTTAGAGCCATCTCACCCGATGGCTAATCGATCAGCGTCTCCTCAGTCCTCATTTAATCCGTCACGTGCTCAAGTGCATCCAAACAGCTGTTCAAACACTCTAAACCTGGTAAACCTTCCCAGAATGCCTCCTTCTCTCACTCTCTCCATTTGCCACACTCTATCTATTAACTCTTTTGTTCTTTCCTTTCAAGGAAAAAAAGCCCTACCACAAATGTTGACATCATTCCTTAAAGAGAAAAAAAGAAAATCAGTCAGACTACTGTGGTGGCTTTGGAGTTGGAGTTTTTACAGTTCTTGCAAATTCAGTCTATTAAGCGGGCGGATTAACATACCACATGGGCACATAATGGAGTCAGAGAAACACAAGCCCTGAGGAACACATGAGCATGGCATTCCCGTCTGGATCTGGAGCATGGATTGGTGTAACGGAGGCACAAAGTGACAGCGCTACAATACTGGAAGTTGTTTACAAGGCTTCCTGCCAAGAAGCTCTGGAAATGTACCTAGTTACGGATTACGGAAATAAAAGTCTTCTTTACCGTTTAGTGGAAAGTGAGCTGTACGGAACCAAACTTGGTCTTCTACCAGGACTTTCTAACAGTATTTCGTTGTTATATGAAAATGTAACATTTATGTTCCATGTCAACTGCTCTATTACCACAGAAAATCCTTTTGATTAGTCGCTTAGTTTCAAAAAACAAACAAAACTTGTGTTTACAGTGCAAGTCTAGTGCAATTGATTTTGGAGAGTTTAAAAGTTGAAATGTGCAAGCTGTATTTTTGTTAAAGTGCTTATAGTAGTTTTTCCATACAGATTTTTGTTTCTGAGACACGACATGCCAACATTGGTTAAATCAGTGGTTCTCAATCAGGGCACCTGGGCCCATTAGAGGGTTTTTGATAGATTCAGTGTTCCCACTGGATATATGTAACCTGTGATATATGAAAAATGTAATTTCTAGACCTGGAAAAGTCATGTAAATCCTGGCATTTTAAATAGATTTTTTTATAGTTATGCCAAGCTCTAAAATATTTTATTGGGTAGAAATTGACAGCAAAAATATCTTTTAAAAATCCAATCCAGTAAATCATGAGCAAGTGGAGAGGTCATGGGGCTTTGAATATTGTTGTGGACAATGGGGGGTCTTGGAGTCAAAAGGCACTGAGAAGCACTGGGTTAAATCAGAAAAGGGATGCACTGCACCTTTAAGAAAGACCATGAAATATAGCAATTAAGTCACCTTCTGTTTTGGGCCTTCCTTAATAGTTATCCAGTCTTCTCCGTTTGAGCTTACATCCACCTTGTAGGACTTCACATAGTATTTCTTGTTGGTCTCTTGAGAGATGGCTCCCTGTGTGCTGATCGCCGAGACAAAGCGCAGGAATCCAAGATCAACCTGAGGAGAGAGAGAACAATATTACTTCTATATTACTCTGAACAGAGGGAGTATCACTTTAAAAGTGGCTTATCGCGTGTCACATATTGAGCTCATAAGACCCCAGGTGAATATTAGAATGAAAGATTAATTTTAATGAATCCCAATTTAATAAAGTATAGCCAATGTGACGATTTAATTTCCTGAACGGGAGACAAGAGCTTATTGGATGAGGAAGGATATTTAACTTCACAGAGCCTGTACCGGGAAAAGAAATAAATCGTTTGAAAGGAAGCGTGCATTTCAGACGTGTGCTGTACTGAAAAATGAATGCTTCATAAAGAAGTCATGAGTTGTGATGTCATTCCCGTGAGCGCGCGGTGAGTGCGTCTGAGAGGACGGATGGGAGAGAGTGTGGTCAGGGGTTACTGGAAGAGAAAACACTGTGGACAGAGATGTGTGTGATTTGGTCAAATCCAGGACTATCAGAGCTGTAATACACAGAAAAATATCTCATTTAATATCCCATTTTTGTTGCGCAAAAGAAAACAATGGAGCAAATGGAGATCTTTGAGCTGAATTCAGCAATACGCTTCCACAGAGAACATGTATGCTGTACTGAAAAATGAATGCTTCATAAAGAAGTCATGAGTTGTGATGTCATTCCCGTGAGCGCGCGGTGAGTGCGTCTGAGAGGACGGATGGGAGAGAGTGTGGTCAGGGGTTACTGGAAGAGAAAACACTGTGGACAGAGATGTGTGTGATTTGGTCAAATCCAGGACTATCAGAGCTGTAATACACAGAACAATATCTCATTTAATATCCCATTTTTGTTGCGCAAAAGAAAACAATGGAGCAAATGGAGATCTTTGAGCTGAATTCAGCAATACGCTTCCACAGAGAACATGTACTGAGCAAACTGACAGTCCAGAGAAATCAACCTACAAATACTTATAGCTATCTCTGCTTATTAAACTAGGATAGGAGAAAACAAGAAAATATTACACACTTCACCTTTAAAAGCAATGCAGTACAAACAGGAGATTAAGGGAAAGCCCGAGTTGCTCATGGGAACTCCCTGGCTGAAAAACTCCACTTTCTGTCTTCCAGAAAACAAGCCATTCCAAAAGTGTATCACCCTTCTTTATAAGGAGACAGGCCAGACTTGACTGTGGGCATTTCATCTGACCACAGAAGAAAAATAATGATGAATTATATCATTTTGGGAAAGAAAATATCATTACATTTGAAGTTGCCAAATTATTGTATTGGTCAGCAGTGTGACTATGCAGTAGTATAACGGTCAAGGCAATTTAAAGTCTGCTGCAACCACTGTGAGAAAGTGTCCAAACTGGAATCCATACGTCTCCAAATGTGTCCTCAAGCCAGCTGACTCTGCATATCCTCTGCTTGTAGTTTTGTATTCTTCTCCATTTCTACTCTTTTTTTTTATTGGATGTTGCAGGTTATGTAAGAGTCTGAAGATATCCTACTCAGTAGACTAATAAAATAATGCAGTTCTCGTTATATCATATCCAATGATTTAAAATGTGAAATTAAATAAAAAAACAACATTTGATTAATTTATCTTGCTGACTAGAACCCAAATGTAACTGTGTTTTCATAATTCTGTCATGGGAAATTCTGGTATGTTAAAACTTGTTCACTTTGCCCAGAGTCCATCTGTGACTTGAGCAAACTGACAGTGAACAGTGCCAAGCTGTGGTTTTTAGGGAGATGCTTTAGTGCTCGGAGAGGCTAAACAACCTGAAACTGATGTAATCCCATACAACATTTTCAAAAAATGAACCAAGGTTCACAGTAGTGTCAGTGGCACACAGCTGTCAAAGAGCTAAAACTAGCTAAAAACGCAGGATAACATCCATGTAGTGCACCTGTTGTAGATACGCTCATCACCAATACCAGTTTTTCATTAAATATCATATTCATTTTGTACTCAACATGAACTAACATAACGGTTTTGCTAGTCTCAAACATGTAGAAAGAGCTAATTGCAAACTCTGTCTGTTCACTATTGTGCAGCGTTTGTAAGTCCTGACTGAGTTTAACGATATTAAAAATACAATGACGTTGTTTCTGAAGTCTGCTATATGAGTGCTGATCTGATCTGGCTGTGCTAAAACATACATGGCAGGAAGATAAGAGAGCTGTGGATCAGCCAGCGATTTGAGATCAGAAAGCTTGGCTGGAGAAGAGACAGTCTCCCTCACACCAGCTGATCACAGATCAGAACTAATGAGCGCCTCCTGATTTATTAACCACACTCTGCCTTAGAAAGACATAGAGAGGGAAAAAAGGTCAAAGAAACTAGAGCAGTAAGAAAAAAAGTAAACATTTCCATTTTTCTACAGTAATCCTTTACATACATAAGCCTCACAACTTTCCCTTATGCAAAGAAAATATATTTCCTTATATATTAATTATCAATATAATAAATTATTTCATGTATATTGAAAATATACAGAATAGCATATTGTGCTAATATATTACAACATATTGTATAATACATTATGTGGGAATTGCCACTAATATATTTACTTATATATCGTAATGTATGTAATTTTATATTCAATAATACACTTCATAATGTATAGCTGTACATGTGATCAATATAATTATATACTATATTAATATAATTATATTTGAATTGAGAAATGAATCGAGTGTTTTAATAAAGCCATTACATGTAAAAATGTAGTGCAGTTTTTCTCTTCATTGCTATATCAATACATGGTCAATGCATAATTGCAGTATATAAAAAATATAAGCACTAGTTTCCCATATATGGAAATTATTATTTAATATACTGCATATAGCTATATTATATATGCATTATTTAATATTTTCTTGTATTACAACCATTAAAATATGAATTTCTACAAAAATGATGACTGTTTTCAAACAGGTTTCCTAAAGAATTTCTCTGTCTGCCATTGGTCAGAAAATCAGTTAGTTTTGCCTTAAACTCACACCATTGGTTGAGCTGTTGCTATGTCAGGCTGGTCAGGATTCTTAATCAAACAAAGCAATGTTTTGAAAGCACCGCACAAAATCACGGAGAGTATACTTTCCAGAGAAATCAACCTACAAATACTTATAGCTATCTCTACTTATTAAACTAGGATAGGAGAAAACAAGAAAATATTACACACTTCACCTTTAAAAGCAATGCAGTACAAACAGGAGATTAAGGGAAAGCCCGAGTTGCTCATGGGAACTCCCTGGCTGAAAAACTCCACTTTCTGTCTTCCAGAAAACAAGCCATTCCAAAAGTGTATCACCCTTCTTTATAAGGAGACAGGCCAGACTTGACTGTGGGCATTTCATCTGACCACAGAAGAAAAATAATGATGAATTATATCATTTTGGGAAAGAAAATATCATTACATTTGAAGTTGCCAAATTATTGTATTGGTCAGCAGTGTGACTATGCAGTAGTATAACGGTCAAGGCAATTTAAAGTCTGCTGCAACCACTGTGAGAAAGTGTCCAAACTGGAATCCATACGTCTCCAAATGTGTCCTCAAGCCAGCTGACTCTGCATATCCTCTGCTTGTAGTTTTGTATTCTTCTCCATTTCTACTCTTTTTTTTTTATTGGATGTTGCAGGTTATGTAAGAGTCTGAAGATATCCTACTCAGTAGACTAATAAAATAATGCAGTTCTCGTTATATCATATCCAATGATTTAAAATGTGAAATTAAATAAAAAAAACAACATTTGATTAATTTATCTTGCTGACTAGAACCCAAATGTAACTGTGTTTTCATAATTCTGTCATGGGAAATTCTGGTATGTTAAAACTTGTTCACTTTGCCCAGAGTCCATCTGTGAAGTATGGATCTCAGCTTAATTTTTCAGAGCTCTCTCTGTGTGTGTGTGTGTGTGTGTGTGTGTGTGCATTGGAAGGCACAGTTCCTGCCTTGCCCTTGGCCCGCATGGAAGGAAGTGGCAGAAATCTAATCTGCCTAAACCTAGTGCAAACTCACTGAAGCTTCTCGTGCTAATTGTGTTGAATTAAACAAGCGTCAAACATGTCTGCCTGTTTCCTAAAGCTGTGACAGTTGTGTTCTTCCTAGCTTGGGCTTATTATGGTGTTTGATGGCTGTTTCAACAGTTTCTACAGAATGTTTATTTTGTTTTGAATGCTTGTAGGAAGTTGATTACATTAGTTGATTTTTTCAGTGTCTTTCTTGAAACAATTTGTCATTTGCGGTTCTTCATTTTCTGGTCTGCAAAAATAAAGCATTTTGTATGAATATTTTTCTCCGTTCTGTCTATTTTCTTGTCTCTTTCACCCTTGTCTTGCATATCAGTGGACAACAAAAATCCACAAATTGGTCAATCATTAAAACCACAACTGCTCTTGTGTGTCTAAGGCTCAAACGCCATCTGGTGCAGGTTAGCCAGGAGGAACTAAGACTTTGAGCAGACAGATGCGCGGCCGCCCAGTCAAAGCAAACACAAATGTGGGACGGCAGGTTTCGCAGGGCAAAGTTCTACTTCATTCATCAAACCACGGCTTCATCCCACCATCCCATCCCACGACACCTGGTTGCTCCGAAAGCTCCTCTAAAATTCCATTAACTACAGGTATAATTAATTCACATTTTCATGAAAGTTGTATTACTGCCAGCAGAGAGATCTATAGGCTCCTCGAAGACCTCACATTCATCACCCAATTTACCTAGCGGAATTAGCTATTAGTTATTTTTAGAACAATTTTTTAAATTATGCATGTGCCTGAATGGTGATCATGTGCTTCTCTTCCCAAACCAATCTAATGGGGTGGATGGTTTGAAAGTGGGACGAATATTAAATGCACACACACACACACACACACACACACACACACACACACAGAGAGAGAGACAGAGAAATAAAGAGAGAAAATAATATAATTTTTATCATAGTTGAGGAGGTGAACCCTAACCTAACAACTCACCTAAAAAAAAAAAACCTGTTAATTTCACCATAACCATAGTTTTTGGTTTTATTTATATTAAAACCATGGTTTATTTTTGTAAGGGAAGAATGGTCAAACAATTATATATCCATTATGAGTCAGGCTAAGCTCACCGATGACAAAAGAACATCCTGTCCGTCTTAGGAAAGGATTTCCTCTGACATGAATTAACATCAATTCTATATTGCTAGCCTCTGGACCTCTTTCACATTAGCAGAAGAGCTTAATGTATCCAGCAAACACCTGGATTCATATTTAATAACTAGAAAATGATATCAAAGAAGATTTAAAACTGTTCAAGCTAATTACACGTAGGCACTGAAGATGGTTTAAACTCTAAATCATAAGAATGTACCTAGCGCAGGTGTGATGCTAGCAGGGTGGCCTAGCTTGACACCAGCTCTGCAGGTTTTGTCAGTAGAGACTCTCATGTTAATTACAGTCCCACTGTCTAATTACTCATCAGCTGGCAGGAGAACAGCACCCGTCTCAAAATAGCAGCAGCTAATCCTTTGATTGAAGAGAGAAAAAAAAAATCTAAGCAAAACAATGGAGAGCAGACATAGCTGCGTCTAGATGACCATCGCTAATGGAAAGCATATGTAGATGACATGCGAAGGCAAACAGGATATGGCCAAGTGCATTGTTTCTGAAGTGACATTTCGCCCCTGAGTCTCACTCATTCACGCTATTTCCCTCGTTACATTCAACTTTCCTCGACAAGAGTCTGAGAGGAATATTTTTCTCAGGGGAAGTCTGTAATTAGTGCCTGCTTGATGGCCCTGGAATTTCAACCTGTTTTTATAGCAAAATGGGTCAGCGACTTAAGGCGGTGGCACAGTGGATAAGAATAAGAGGGTGGGGTGGTGTCTCAATCATTGTTTCCATCTATGGCCCTGGCACATTCCCTCCTCACCTCCATCAATCAAGCTGACGGCTTCCCGTTCAACTAGCTGACACAAAACCTGGTTGGCACTCTACAGTTCCAGACTTGAAAATGTTGTCCTTATTGTTTTGAACATTCTGACCTCTTGTCAGAGATGCTTTAAAGAACAACATGAAGGTAAACATCCTCTCCAGTGATGCAAAAGAGAAAAGCCCTTGCATCCCTGTGAATCAAGCCCTGATCAAAGCATTCAGCTGAACAGCAGGACAGACATATGCAGCAGGTTTATAAATGAACCACTGTGTATTCCAAGCACCGCTGCATAAATGCAAGCGGTTGACGTGTTTCCATAGAGGATGAGAATGATTGCGAGGCTGAGATTAATGAAACAGAACATGATCTATGAGCAACTTCTATTCAACCATTAGGAGCTAGACAGGAGCTTTCAACTATTGACACTTGACTTTTTCCCAGATCAAAATGCATAATTCATAAAAGCGCTTTGATGCTGCTGGAGTGTGCATTTATTGCATCACTTGCAATATGCCACACATTGCACTGAAGTCTACCAAACAGGATCTGTTTTTTGTTATACCAAGCTCTCCACGGGACTGAAAATCTGCCATCCATAAGAACCTTCACAGCATCTTTTGTTTTAGGTTACGGTCTTCTATAAATCGGAAGTCTTTCCTTGAGAGAGTCAAAATGTGTTGTACAGATGTAGGTATCTCGGCTTGTCACGCTTTAACACAGTCTTCCGACTGAAACCAGGCCGTATCGATAAACATAGTAGACTGGAAGTTTTCAGAGCCAGATTCCCGTGTTCTGCAAGACTTCACCCCTTCTTTCATTCATCATATGTCTGATAAAGACCTTAACGGACATTGCACAAACCCTTGTAAACGGACAAGGAAAATACTAGCCTCTGTAGCTTACTGGCTTAGCTCAAGATCTCCTGACCCTCGACTAATTATCAGGAGTGGCAAGCTGGGAGCATTAGACCCTGAATCTAATTTGAAGCCGCATTAAGATGCATGACAAACGCTGTGTTTTTGACACCTTCTGGGTGGGAAAAAATGCAAGAAATGGGGATTTTTAACAGGAAAGAACCAGGCTTCTATGAATAATATGTGTCGGCTGTAAATTACATTAGAGAGTGTAAATGTAATAAATAATGAACTGATAATATGCGTTGGAGGACACATGAGCGAGCGAGTTGTGCGTGCCAAGTGGACTGCGCCATTAGATGGAGAAATACTGTTGTGGTGGGTCATGTTGCTTAATGGAAGCGAAATGAAGAATTCCACTCTTTTAATAATGCTTGTTATAATTAAACTCCTCCACAAGTGCTGGGCACGGGAGAGAGAATGAGCGCAGGACGTCTCCAAATTATAAATCATTCATCCTCGGCAGGGTTCCACCTTTGTTCCCTTGGAAACAGATGTGCGGGGTTCAACTTTGACATCTGATTGGCGGAAAGGGATTTACAGGGGCACGGTACAGGAGGGCTGAAACAGAATATGTTTGATTTGCTGTAATTTCTCCCACCAAAAAGAGTACCCTTCCTCTAATCAATATCCTTTAGAGAATTCCAGGCGGCTGCAAAATTGTACTCTCTTCAGCTCGATACTGCACTGTGGGAGGCGAGTCTTTTAGGGTTTCATTAATATCTGAAATGACTAAACAAGTTCAGCAAAGCCAAGAGGGTGAACAGTTGCAAAGTCTACTTAATTATCCTGAATAAAATATGAAGTGGCAACTGTGAAATGATGTGGAACCGATTGGTTTGGGTGCTAGAAGATACATTTTCTCTCTCATCTTTTAGACTCATTTATGTCACATAAGCGGAATGTTTCTTTTCTGAAGACTTCCAATTTGTTGGATACGAGATAAAATTCAGTAGCACAACAGCGTGTCAACACCACATGCCAAACACTGATAAATATACTGTCATCTTACGAACATGAGAATCCTTCACTTAAAGTGATGGTCTGTAAAACGAGTAGAGGCTAATTATCGACTGCTTCTCAAAGAACATCCTGGTAGAGTGTTAGGATAGTTCATTGTGCTTTGTACAACAGTCCCAATCAATACCATATTGACAGAGACTGGTAATCTATAAGCATAATGAGTCCATCTAAACAAAGAAGAACTTTGAATTACTATGATCAAAAGCACTCGAGAAATCGGCAACGGTTACAATCCTCAACTCGATCAGACTCCACATTGAATCCTCAGGGCTCTGTTCTACTAAGCGATGACATTTCTTCCTAAAATGTGGGGCGGAATTTGTAGCCACAGTGGAATAACTTGTCTCCAGTTCCTCAGGAAATGCATACGTCTCACTTCTACAATGAAACGAAGAATTAAACATTGTGGTTCCTCTTCTCTGCTAAGTTGAGGCACCTTCCCCTAATTCAATTAGTTTCTGGTTTAGAACACAGACAATATTTTGATAGCAATAAGGAAAATCTACTTAACAGACCTCTCCTAGCAAATATTTGGCCGTGGGTCACGTCTGTTATTAGCCTCCTGAGGAGTCTCTTTGGCCCAAACTTTCCAGTCAGGCAAAGATTATAAAACAAGTCTGGGTTTTGAGGGTACCCTTGGGGTTTGGGTCACAGAAAAGCCCCTAAGTGCAAGAAAAGGCCTGCAGAGGTGCTGCAATGCAATCAACACAATGACTCCTGCCAAGAGTTTTTCACAGATTAATGCGACTAAAACAGACTCAAATAATCTGTTGCTCATGTCACTGTCCTTGTGTGTGGTCACATTCCTTAGAATAAGTTTCAGGTTTCTTATTGTCTCTCAGACATTACAATCATTTTAGATACACCCAGATGCATCTCATAGACAGTCTTTGTTAAGGTTACAAGCATCTGTTGGCCAGGAAGACTCACTGGGGCCAAAGCGAACCAGTACATTTGGGTTTTAACATTCCATGGCTGTCGACCAAAGGGCAAAATTCAACAGATGTTGCTGCTGGTCTTCAATAGAGAACAGCAAGCCAGTGGCAAAAACATCTGCCTGATCAAGTTGAATGTGAATTCAGCTAGAGAAAGTTTCTAACTCAAAAATCATAAAAGCGTGAGGGAGTTTCAGAGTTTCAAACTTTTCTTCTGTAGACTCGGCTTCTCTATTCTTCAAAAAATACCACATAATTTCCTATTCTCTGCCAAGGACAAATCCCTTCTCCATTACTCATTCATAATAGACTGCTATCTTCAGTATATGTGTGTGAATCGCACAGTACCTGAATCCATTCTTTGTTTGAGTCCTCTGCAGGGGTCCAACCATTCTCAGGGCTGTTGAGTCTAGATCGTTCCGGAGACCAGCTGGGGTTGTACTGGGATGAAGCCATGATTTGGTCGGAATGGATTTCCCCAGTTTCCATACCCAAAGGCTCGGTGCAGTCAAAGTCTGAAGAAAGCACAGAGTAAAAAGGGGCAGGGGAGTTGTTAAAATGTCATTTCATGATCTAAATAAAGAATACATCAGATCATGACCCAAACTAAGACCTTGCTCTGGGGAATGAGCCACTCAGAGGCAAAGCACCATAGGTTTCCATCTCTTAGCACCAGAATAAAACATACACTCTCTTCTTGCCCCTCTAAGCACAGTTTAATGGAAGCACTGTGGGAAGTGTACCACATTAGGACTCATACCTTTATTCATAAAACATTCAGTTTAAGCTCTGAAGTCCAGTAGCAAGAGAAATCTTGAGGTTCATAAAAGAAGTGCCTTCGAAAGGTGCACAGTTAAATGGCATTTCCCCAGCGTCAGCATCTGGAGGAATGGAAAGTCAGAGACGCCTCTGGCATGTCTGTGTTTTTAGATGGAAGGAGAGCAGGTTGTATATCACTCCTCATGCCATGCCACCCAGGATAAGGGCATTGCTGATTGTTTTATGACGTTATGGGGCAGTCGTCTCGAGGCATGCTGGCCGTGTGTCTGAAACAAGCAAAGTTCATGCTCTGACCCCCAAGGATCTTTTTCCAAACGCTTCGGCACAGAATGTAGGACTCTGAGACAGTGAAGGATGGGGAAATGTTGAGGCTGAGGTGGGAGACATGCTAATTTATTTACAACAGGTCACAGACTCCAAACAAACACATATTGTAGTTTTAAATGTAATTGCACGTTGAAACATGGTGAGCTCGTGTTACCAAATATAACAGCGTGAGCTGCAAGCAGGTCACATAAACACATACACAAGCAACACAGCCCAAACATGCAGGCCTAAACACACATAGCAGATGGAGAAGGCATGCGTGCTAGATAGACAGTAGTTTTATTTATTCACACTAAGCCATAAGCCCTGTTCTGAAAACCTAGTGATCTGCCTACCTAGACAGCACTTGAAGGCATCAAATTTTTGCTACCTTTTAAGAGACTTAAGAGCGGTGTGCTCTGATTGGCCGGCTATCTAGTGTGTTGTGATTGGCCGGATTCCTCAAGCGTGTGACGGAAATGTTACGCCGCTTACCAGGTTCAGGAAACTTTCCTCCATAAAATGCGCTGCGCACACTCGGATATTTGGGTTGTACTGTTCTGGAACAGTGTTGTGAATAAAACTTAACCACTGATTTCTAGTTGTGTCCTCTTTTGAAATGCCAAACAAAGTAGTTTGGCTTTCGCAACGAAACACAGTGTCTCCACGATATGGTGGAGGCAACAATACTACAGCAAGAATCAAAGTTACGCCATCTTTCATTGCGTATACATTTGGGCAGTGTTATGCAAATCTCCCCACACAGTGATGTAGAAATGTGGGGGCGTGTTTAAATGAGGCATTTTAGGAATGTGTGGATGAGCGTTAGGGTTAGGGTTAGGGTTGAGAAAACATGAAATCGCATCATATGACCCCTTTAATATATAACAATACATTTAATAGATATATAAATATATAGCCTTTAATTCAGAATGGAAAAGTATCATACTATTTTATCCAATATCCTTACAAAAATATACCAGAGTAACCACAGATTTTTTGTTGTAGAATATTGTAAAGGTATTTTTAGTGCTTATTCATTTCATTAGCTTAGCAACTCATGCTAACACTAAACTCAAAATTAAAGGGATTGTTGAATCTTTTATGTGCTTCTCATGAATTTCCCTCTGTTACCCTTGAAACCTCAGCTCAACTAAATCTTAACTTTACTTATTCTCTTTTATCTCACTATCTCTTCAAGCCATCTATCCATTTCCCACCCTTTCATTCTTTAGAACAATGACTGAAAACAACCAGATCTCTCGTCTGATTACATCTGGCATCTGTCACTGTTTGGTCCCACTCGGCAGAGACCATAAATCTTTGACGGTTCTCTGACAAAATCCTTCACAAAAAGAGTTATTGCCAATGGCGATCTCCTTCCTTCCTGCAAAGCACAATATACTGGTAAACATGTTGAACTGCGAGAGAAGCTGCCACAGAATGTAAATTTATGGAGCCAATAAATAATTGACAGACTGCGACTTTTGGGCAAAGCCCCAGCTGAGAACACACCGACTGTATTCTTCAGCATGAGCCGGGTAGCAGAGATGTAGTACACACCTTGATGTGTTCTGAGAGCTCAAGCTGCAATATAACAATGTACATCAGTTCACAACATTAATGGCAATATGCACTTTATAATATGTACAATCAAATCACAAGCACCACTACCTGTCATGTTGAACAGATATGTTTTCAAGAGTAGGTGAGAAAGACAGACAGAGGAGGAGTAAGCATGAGGGTTGGTGGTGTGTTCTGAAATTAAATGTTTAGTTGGAGCATTGCTCAAATTGGGGTGAAGAGGTGAACTCTCTGGGTGAGCTGGTTTGGAAAAAAAAGAGAGAAGCAACCCTCACAAAGCAGGGCAGACGGGTCATGACTCTCAACACAATAACTTAATGAAAGAGGGCCACAGCTGAGCGGGACGTGGCGATTTAATAACTTCCCATGTTATATCATGTTGTAAATGTGGGTACACATCTGTATACGGGTTTATAACCCCAATCAACAGGGTATGTTTCAATAACCTTGGCTAACATAATGTAAAGGCTGTGTAAATGCTAGGAACAAGCATTCTAATGATGTTCAAACCTAGATTTTTCAGAATTCGATTTTTTATAAGCAACATTTGCAAATTAAGTTGAGGGATTTTTTTTTACATCTGCAGTTATAGGTTTTCGAAGTAATTACTGTACTTTTCGCTTGCCTTCATTCATCTTCCAAAACATTCAAATCTCAAAGAACTGGCCTCTCTACTGCCCTTCAGCTATGGAGCACCCATTGTGTTTTATCTAAATTTTGTGTAAATACTGAATCTTAAATCTTGACATACTGAATTATTTAATCTCATAGCATAACTGGTTGTGTGATCTCATCATGGTGACCCGTGTTATACACAATAAACAACATCTTCTAGGATGCTGATATTACTGAGGATGCTGGATACTGAGACTTCACCTCATGTGAATTTTGTACTGATTTCGTCAATTACTTTGTGCACTTAAAACATTGCAGTATTGACTTACCATCCGGGACTGTCCTTTCCAGCACAGTAAAATTAGCTGAGAATCCCTCTTTTGCAATAGCACTGTCTGTGTTGATTGTCAAAGCCAAGATTCCAGTGTAGGATATGATCCGTCCTGGAGTATTTTGTCCACAGTATCTGCCAATGTATGGACCAACTGTGGAAACAGACAAAGATAGAGCAAAGAGAGGGTTTTAGGGATGATTAGATACGTTTAAAATCTACTATTCAAGCCATTTTATCACAGCTGATACTGCAGTGTGTGAACATCAAGGACAGTGACATTGGTTGACCTTGAATAACTGCATTGACTGAACAAAACATTCTCTCTACACCTTGTTGTTGATGGAAATGAAAAGGGCAGTGTCTGTTTTGTATGTCTATGACCTTGGGTTTCTGTTTTCAGTGGCGACCATAAATTCCTACACTTATTGTTCGTTCCAGGGCCACTCTAATGTGACTTCCCAGAAGCCACTTTAAAAGAAGAAGAAAAAAAAAAACGTGTAGGAGTTGCAGGGGACAAGAAGGAAGGAACTGAACACAACTAAGGCTGTAAATTAAGAGGTATGCAGTGCATTCAGCTGCGAGAAGGAAATGCTTTGAAGCTGTATTGAACAAGAGCTTTTCATACTATATGTGCATGTCTTTCCAGGTTAAGGCCACTTTTAAACTTTGGTTTAAGCAATGTTTCAAACTTTTACCGTGCTAGATGTGGTAGATTGCAGTGCTTGAATGTAACGGAAAGTTGTTTGGCAACAGACAACCAATTATAAATGGCCCCAGTGCTTGCCTTATTAATTATCCATGAGCTTTGTACAGCCACAGAAACTTAAATTACACTGATATTGCACATTTTTGTGCATTTTACGCCTACTGGACTGTCCAGTCAATAAAATTAACCTCTTAAAAATGCAAATAGCAAGATTAACCCAAGGTTTACAAATATACAGTGTGAAATCTCAAACCTGAGTAAAAGGATTCATTACTGACCCAAGGCAAAATATGAACCATTTGAAACCATATGAACCGCTCACAGTACACTGCAACTCAAAAAAAAAAAAGCTAAACATGTCACATATCTTTGGAAAGCACAGATTCTTGTGATTTGAATGCAAACCATTTTAAGATACAATCAACACAGCAGGTACAATCAGTGTCTTTTTTCAGACTTCATGCTGTGATCCCATTGTGTTTTCCAGCTAATAACTCCCAGCTATAGTCATCTGCAGGCATCTGTTTATAAAGAAAATGTAGGCGGAATGTTTTTCTCCTTTTTCAGTGTGTTCAAAGTTCTATTACTCAGCACCAGTAAGACTTACAGTGACACTCTAAGGTTCCTAAACAGAACAAACCTCAGAGTGTCACCTTTCAAAAGAGACCAAAACCATGCATATACAGTACTGTTTCAAGAACAGCATGCAGTTTACAGTTTTACTTTGGGTATGCTTTTTTAGCCAAGTTTTTGCAGGAATGCTAAGGGGTTAAAATGTGCTACAAATGACTGAAATATTGGCTTAAGCATTAACGCGCCTTTTTCAAGGATCGCTTTTTAAAGAGAAACTGTGATTGGCTCTTTTTTTTTCAGACTTCATGCTGTGATCCCATTGTGTTTTCCAGCTAATAACTCCCAGCTATAGTCATCTGCAGGCATCTGTTTATAAAGAAAATGTAGGCGGAATGTTTTTCTCCTTTTTCAGTGTGTTCAAAGTTCTATTACTCAGCACCAGTAAGACTTACAGTGACACTCTAAGGTTCCTAAACAGAACAAACCTCAGAGTGTCACCTTTCAAAAGAGACCAAAACCATGCATATACAGTACTCCAAATGTTTCAAGAACAGCATGCAGTTTACAGTTTTACTTTGGGTATGCTTTTTTAGCCAAGTTTTTGCAGGAATGCTAAGGGGTTAAAATGTGCTACAAATGACTGAAATATTGGCTTAAGCATTAAAGCGCCTTTTTCAAGGATCGCTCTTTAAAGAGAAACTGTGATTGGCTCTTTGAGAAGATGCCCATTACAGTCTGAAAGAGATTAAACAGATCGTCCAGCTTTGTGTGTGTGTGTGTGTGTGTGTGTGTGTGTGTGTGTGATTACATACAACAGATCTAGGGGTTTACATGAATCTTAATCTTCATAAGAATTCATTGAAACAGGTGCATCCAAGTGTGTATAAATGTGTGCGCTTGTGTGTTGAGACGGCTCTGGGTGTGGTGAACCATCCGGATTATCTGCATGACTCAACAGGGCTATGAAATTTTAAAGAGCCTCTCCATGAACCCATCCAGCATGTCTGCTCTGGTGGAGGAGGAGGGGGGCTTTACAAACCCTCTGCCAGGCTGTGACTGCCTCAAAGTGGGCGGCCAGTGGGTGATGGAGGGCTTGAAGTCATCGAGGCTTCTGTCTCATGCCTCGCAGCCTTTCCACACTAATGCACTTATTGATTGGTGTGGCTCCACAGGTAATGCAGCTAGTGTCTGAACCGTAGAGAGGAGTTACACGGAGGCCCTATAAGGCACCAGGGCCTTCCCTTTAAAGTCTTGTCTTCAGCCTCCCTCTTGGCTCTTTCTCTGTCACCGTGCACTTGTGGGACACCTTTTTAATGTGGATTTTTCAACAGAGGCTGCCGAGTCTAAAATAAAGCATGCAACCTTTGTCCCAGGTTCTACACTTCCATCAGGCCTACATGGATTTTGGATTCACAAAAAGCTCTGTCGATTTTTGGAGAATTGGAACAGCATCATTCCAAAGTTCTACACACCCCTCACTTCCTGAGTTTGCTTACGAAAACAATAAGAGTGCAGCATTCTCAACTCTTTTTAAAGAAGTAGTTCACCCAGAAAGGAACATTCTGTTATTATTAATCATAACTCTCTTGTTCCAAACCTGCATGCTGTCTTTTTTTCAAAACCAAAATTAAGAAATCCTAAAAGTAACAGCATATGAGTTTCTACTGTTTTCCCTCAAAATCCATCCAGAAAATTCAACAAATTCAGAAAATGTCTGCAAATTCTGTCCGGACCTGCTCACAAAAGACTATGACTTTGTGTAAGCTTTCAAAAACAATTAGTTAAACAGACTTCCTTTAATCATAATTGCAACAATAGGTTCACAACGTATCCTCGGAAGAGATGCAGAAACTAATTAAAAAAAATTTTAACTGATGAGAACGTTCAAAAGGCTCGGTCTCAGATCAAAGGTGTCATTAGTTCACAGCTTCTCTCTTCCATCAAGACAGAAAAAAGTCGATAATGAAGTGGAAACTGAATAAGACCACTGGTCCTCACAGATTTCCTTCCCGCTTTGAGCTGAAATCTTCCTGTTGGGCTTCTGGGTGTGTATAAGCAGTTCAAATACACACGCACAAATAAAAACTGTATTTTTCTTGGAGAACAGAATAGTTTTGGTGTTATGACAACAGTCTACATTCCAGAGTCCCTCACCCCAACCTGCCCGGGACAAACCACAGTCTAATGTCCAGAGAGACAGAAAACGAGAACAGCTATCAATGGGATAAAGAGCTTTTACTGGCATTTTCTCAAATACTCTTATACATTTGTGGATGTAAGAGTATGTGTGCATGTCCAAATATCTTATTGACACTTGGCCATGCTTAGGAGGAGTTTGTTTTGCTTGTGACACACAGCACATAGATCTGGGCCAGGCATCTGTTCTCCCTTAGAGATCAATCATACGGCATTGTTGTTTAGTCATAGCATCTGGCTTATCTGTTAAAGGCCATTTCCAGAAGGCCAAAGATGAGACCCTCCCAATTACTTTTGCTCTGACCACTGTTTAGTTTCCTTTTCCAGACTGCCTTCTTCAGTATTGCACTTCAGCACTGTATTATATCGCAAATCATGCAGGTTGTTGAGGATAGGTGTGCTATTACTTTGCTATATGATCAGATTCACAATTTTCACCTGGCAGATAATAAAACTGGTGCCATCTCCGATAGAATGTGTAAAAATTGTACCTTTAGGTGTTCAACAGCCTGGTACAACTGGTAAGGGACAACTTTGTACATTATTTAAGGTTCATAAGTAGTACCTTAAGGGTACATATTACTACTCTAATGGCCTAATATGCATATTTTAGAGGTAGATAAGGCAGAAAGAAAATCGTCCCAGTGACAAGCTGTTGTATCACTAAAAGTAAAAATCCCTTAGACTTAAACTGAAGGAGGGAGCCAAGCCAACATCCTCCCATCCACCTAGTACACTTTGTTGGTGTGCTTTGCATAGGAAACTCACATTCTCTTTAGAAAATGTAAACTCTATTTTGCATTGTTAAATTCGAGTATACATTCTTGTTACTTGATATCATGTTCTGTTTCTGTAGACTGAAGTATTTGAGTTTATTGTTGCTGGTCCTTTGAAGTGTGAGTATTTGAGAACCAATGTGCAAACATCATCCGCTAAATGATCTTTTGTTTCAAACATTCAGATTTTCTTGTTTGGAGCAACTGTTCTCTCCAATGACTCACCTCCAGGGAAGCCGTCCCAAATCTCCAGGCGGTCGTATCGGCAGAACACTCCAGTGGGTGGCTGTGTGTCTGGCTCCAACTCAAAGCTCTCGAACTCCAGAACGATCTCCGACATCTTAGGAGCAAAGATCATGAACGTGCAGTCTAGGTTGTTGGGGTACTTCTCTGGAAAGCCGGGTGACTTGATGACTCCACTGCTGGAGGTGAAGTTCCTGGAACATTCTGGACCTGAGGTGGACACCGAGAGGAAGGAAAAAGTTAGGATTTCTTGTTTGCTCACTGAGGCAGATGAAGTAGGGGGAAAAAAAACAAACATCGAAGAAAGAACATGGTGGTCTGTGTTGTTTTGCTCGATGATAGCATGGTTTATGGGCCGTGGTGGAGGCCCACCCTGCTCGGGATATGGCTGCTGCCTTATTTCTTGGGTGTGTGGGCTAATGATGAAGACGAAACGAGACCAAAAAGAAAGTAAAAGCGCATATGAGCCTTTACTTATTAAAAGTTTCATATGCACTCTGTGCAGTACGGTTGGTGCTTAAAAAAACACAATTAAGAAATAGTAAAATATGTCCATCATACTTTATAAAACTCACTTTATCCGCCCTTTAGAAATACACACACACACACACTTTTACATCAGTAAGTCAAAACATTTACCCAGAACTCTCTGGTGGACTAGCTTTGTTGTGTCTTGTTGAAGTTCACACATGCATCACTACTTTGCACTTACACGACGGTTGCTCGACTAAAGCTGTTGTGTGATGAATAAGCTCAGAGCTCTAAGAGTGATGCATATAGGATCACCTCTGGATCATCAACACAGAAATGTCAACATTACATTAGCACTGTACCTAATGTAGTGTGGAAACTCATGGTAATTACGGCGGGTGCAAAAGTTTAAAGATCATGAACCAGAACAGAGATGACAAATAACGATGTCATTGTGGCTAAAAACCAAACCCATACAGCATAACTTCTTTAAGTGGAAGACAAAAGGGTAAGTCTTGAAGAATTCTCAAACTGCTTTCTTGCATAAAAATTGGATGGGGATCAGGGGTGCATCATAAAAGTGGTCTGTACAACTTGTGCGCCATATTATTCTGTTCTAAAACATCTTCTGTAGACACAGATTTAAATTTAACTCATTATTCACTGAAAGCCTCTCAATTTCATTATGTGTAAGAAAGCAGCTTGGACATTCTACTGCATATCTCCTATTATTTTCTATGGAAGAAAGTTATATGGGTTTTGACACAATGGATTTCATTTACATTTTTTAGGTGAACTACTCCTTTTTAAATTATAAAAATGGACAGCCCAACAAACACATCTCCAAAGGATGGAAGAATGGTTGAAAAAAATAAAAATAAAAATTTGCAGCGTTAAGTGGATTTTCTGTTATTTTGGAACCTTGTTGGGTGCATAATTTAATTTAATCAAAAACTCTACCACATTCTACCACAAAACCTGTTAACTGCTTCTTTTTATAAATTAGTTTTATTTCTTTTCCATTTTTCCTGTGCTCAAAAGAAAATGACCAGCACGGGAATATGAAGCTAAAGAGAGTTGACATTTAGTGCACTATTTAGTTGGTTTTTAAACAGCAGGACATAAATTCCACACTTTTAGTCTTTCATTACACAGAGCTTTAAAATTCCAGACATTTAATATTTTACATTTTCTTTCATAAATAAGAAAAAAAGCTTGAAATATAACACTCAGTGAATGTGGATGTTCCCAAACCCTACAGCCCTCCTCTCTAATCAATTGAAACCTAGGGTGTCAGCAATTAAACATGGGGAGAAGGTGTCACACATATAGGACGGGGTACTTGCAGAAACACTTTGGGGTTTGGGGTTGAAAGGCGTCAGCTGAGTGGTCAGAAATCAGTGTCTCTGAAAACTTTCCAGGTTGAAATAAAAGTTACTAGGCTTAACAGGCTTATAAAGAAATTCAAAGGAACTATTTGATGATGGAGCCAAAAACTTTCAACTTTCATCTTTAGTTTTTGATAGTTGTGTACCTTCAAGCAACTGCAGATAGACACACTCAATTCAGTAGACTATTCTTAAGATAATCTTCTGACAGACAAAAAATGTTCTGTGGCTGTTCCACAGGCAAGAAGGAATTGCATTTTCCTTTCGCAAGATAAGAACACATTTGCTCTGCACTATTTCTCACTCTATTTATAAAGTGCATGCTATAGCATTATCTTTTTAGCAAAACAATCCAGAATATACTCGAAGCAAGAACATGAAAGCAAATGCGTTGAATTCGGAAATATGTCGGAATCCATTTCGATGTTGCATTGACAGCATTGCCACAAAGGGGTGCTATAGTTGGTATTAGTGCTCAGTTTTCTTGTTTAGGTTTTTTAGGTTTAGTTGAAGCAACAATTTGAAAAAAAAAGCTGCATGAGCTAAAGTTTGCTAAACTGTCAACACACTAACTAGCTAGCAAGCTATCTGACATTTGAAGGTGACTCTATCATCACCTTGAATATTAATGCAAGAATGCATATTAAGTATTGTTTACAATGTGTCAATGTCTGCGATATTGGCACACTTGTGTAGTTTTAGTGCCTCTCTGTGAATGGCTTAAATATAGAGTGTGAAATATAATAGAGAATTGTGGGTCCACTAGTACATTTATCTGTCTAGCAGGAACTGTGTAGCTTCACGGCTCTTGACTGTGACTGGCTTTGTAATGCTTCACTGCTGTTTACAGATTGCGGTGGGATTCTAGGATTTGTGTGTATGTGAGTGCGTTTGTGATTATGCGTGTCTCATAAGGATTCAGAGACATGTCGCTATTGTCGCTAACCGCAAATGCTTAAAACCTCCACACATTCCCATGTCCCTTGGTTTGTTTCTGCAGTTATTTGCAAGCAGTTGGGAAAAAAAAACTTTACAAGAGAAAACTGGGGAAAACTGAGATGAGAAACGAGAGGGAGCTTTGAGCCTGTAAACGCAAGCCAAACAATTAAAGCTTTGTGAGAGCCATCCAGCTTTCCCTCTCACAGCCACAAATACTTTCAAGTCCTTCTGAACTAAATTTACACTTAAACACTAGAATTTATGGGAGAGTAGTGAAATGGTATTGAAAAAACACAGGCGTGATTCATAGCAGCTAAGCGCTAATTCTGACATTAATGGCTAGCTTTTGTACGATTTATTTTGTTTGTCCGGACTAACGTATATACACAGGGCTTATCTTTTCAATGCGGTGAAGTGGCTGATGGCTTCGCCTCTGTGGAATATGCTGTTTATTTAACAGGCCAGAGGTAATGCTTGTTAAAATGATCGTTTGCAGGTCTCCCCTTAGTGCAAACAAACCCAGCAAAGTGTCAGAGATTTAATCCTCATGTTCTGTTGAGATTGACCCTGTTGAAAAAAACAGCATATGCTGATTAGGTATGTTTTGAAGCTGGGATGCTGGTTTGAGCTGGTCCTTTGCTGGTTTGAGCTGGTCCTTTGCTGGTTTGAGCTGGTCCTTTGCTGGTTTGAGCTGGTCCTTTGCTGGTTTGAGCTGGTCCTTTGCTGGTTTAAGCTGGTCATGTGCTGGTCTTAAGCTGGTCGGACCAGTTTAGGACCAGCATACCCCAGCAAAGGACCAGCTTAAACCAGCAAAGGACCAGCTCAAACCAGCATCCCAGCTTCAAAACATACCTAATCAGCATATGCTGTTTTTTTCAACAGGGACTTTACTGTTGTTACGTTTGGGGACCTCAGTGATGTATATCTTACAATACAACATGTCTAAACATTTCTGTCATTTATAAATTAACCTTTTATCTTTAGTTCTTCTGACCTAATCAAAGCCATATATTACTGAATCTCTATTCCTCCGTTTTACCTTAAAGCAAAATAAGTTAGGTACTAAAATTACTACACTTAAAACCTGAATATCTCAAATTAATTAACACTAATAAAAATGTCAAAAGCATAATAGTATCTAAAATACACTGATTTGTCTCCATTCTTGCTTCTTTATCTAAGTGTTCTCTGCAAATGCTATCATTTTTTTGTAGTTTGTTAGCTACACTGCACACAGTACTGCAAACCTGAGCTGACACAGCTACGCTGATGCTAAGAGATGTTTATTACTAGATCCTTTGGCATATGACAAAGTTTGTGTAACGCTGAAGCAGAAATGAAATGGCGGTAGGTGTTCTGGGTCTAGTGAGCTAATCGCTGTTGTTTATATTCCATATATCTGCAGGGAGAATAATTAATCTGGACACACACTTACACACACCTTTCCTTGCCACCAGCTCAAACCAGCATCCCAGCTTCAAAACATACCTAACCAGCATATGCTGTTTTTTTCAACAGGGACTTTACTGTTGTTACGTTTTTTGTAGTTTGTTAGCTACACTGCACACAGTACTGCAAACCTGAGCTGACACAGCTACGCTAATGCTAAGAGATGTTTATTACTAGATCCTTTGGCATATGACAAAGTTTGTGTAACGCTGAAGCAGAAATGAAATGGCGGTAGGTGTTCTGGGTCTAGTGAGCTAATCGCTGTTGTTTATATTCCATATATCTGCAGGGAGAATAATTAATCTGGACACACACTTACACACACCTTTCCTTGCCGTTTACCCCCGTGGCTACACTAAGACAGGTTAATGGGTGCGATGAGAGTTTGAGAAGCAACATTTGGCCACACTTTCCAACAAACATGAATCTGGAGTCACAGCTGTGGGGTTACCCTGAACATACAAACACGCACACTTACAAACTACAGTTGCTGACACATCGTTTAGCCAGCCAGCACCGCTGATGGTTCCCCTTGAGAACAAGAATGGACAATGCACAGAAAGACAGTTTCTGCCTTGGGTTTCATTAGCTCTGAGTGTTAACGTAGGGGGGTTTATTTAGAAGACGGGCTTGCAGAATGACATGCTTGCCGTGCCAGATGTGACCTATGCCACTGGCCTGTAAAAAGCAACTAAACTTGTAAAAGGCAACTAAACTGGACACAATGAACAAGCTGCCATCCTCACGCAATCCTTGTCCTACTGTATTGACACAGGCGCCAACGTAAAGACGTTCAGATAACATCTCTATGATGAATGGCCTAGCTTGTCATGAGCTAGTGATGATTACGCAGACTTTCAGCATGATTTTAAAGCAGGTCACTGGTAATGGTTACACAACTATTTAAATACACACAAATGGGTTAATTGGAAAAATGTGCCTCTGTCTATCTAGCACTCCAAA